TATTCACTTTTACTATAGTAAGTCCTTATAAACTAATATGACTGTTTCCTGTGAACGTTTCATGTGAGAGAAGTTTATAGAGTAAGCTGAAATACTGCTGTTTATTTTGAAATATTTAATTTGTCTCGTACTAAGAACTTCACTATCAATACTATATTGTACATTTAATTGCATAATTCAGAAATATGGCATTACTTTGAATTACAAAATTAGAGAATTAGCATAGTAGCAGTATTTTCAGTGAATTACTGACTTGAGTGAGTTTTCAGAATTTTTATTATAAATAAACTTTATAAACAAAATGGGGGTGTGTGTGTAAGCAAGGGATTCTACTTGTTTTTTAAGTTTCACCAGAGTAGAGAATATTTGGAGAAGACCTTTGGGCTGTGACCTTTTTTTTGGCGTGAAAAGACTGACTTGTTCTCGCTCTCTACTTCTTCCATCCATCTAAGATTATTTTTCCCATTTGTGTCCTTCTACTTTCTGAGCAGACCTGTGACAGAAAAGGTAGAAGTTGTGCTAGTAAATCACATGGAGCTTATTTTTGTGTCTACAAGTGCGTCCTGTGATGTAAGGGGAGTTAATGTCAAGGCATGAGATGATGATAGATTCCAAATGCTTCCTACTAGGATAATGTGTTTGGGGGTGTGAGTTAGAAGACATGGAACAGCTGCACTTTTTTTTTTTTCCCCATTTTATGGTCTTAAGGAACAGATTATGATCTCTCTTGCTGACCCTCCAGTTTTTCTGTACTGGAAAGTTCCATGCTGGGACAAAATAGATTATGACATTGTTTGATTAAATAAAGGCTTCTGTGTAAAAATAATAATCTAGCTTCAGATTATTATTTGAAGACTTTGTGACAAGCATTACTGTTTTTCCAAAATTTTTTGTCTTCAGCAGACTGTTGGGAGCTGTGGAGAAGATGGGAGTCAGACTCTTGTTGGAGTTGCATAGTGAAAGGGTGAGGAGAAGCACACACAAGATGCAGTACTGGAAGTGCTGATTGGATATTAAGAACTTTTTTTCATGCAATATGTTATGCATTGGACTAAATTGCTCGGAGAGGCTCTAGAGTATCTGTCCTTACAGATACTCAAAGCTTGGCTGATTGTCATCCTGACCAACCTCGTCAAAAAGATGACTTCAGCTTTGAAGTTGGCTATACTTTGAGCAAGATTGGACCAGATAACCCACCTCCAGATGTCCCTTACAACTGTAATTAATATATGATCTCTGCAATTCAAATTTCTAAGTAACAGGATTTTGGAATTCACTTACATATTAGCTTGATTTTCTTAGCTTTCCCTTTTTAACATGAGGAAGAATGTTCTTCTTTGTATGAAGCTTAAAAGGCATCTAGCTGACGAAATGATGGTTAGAAAATGAAATGTCTGTGTGGAATTACAGTTAGAAGGTTGCCACATCAGACCATTTTTGGATACATGTTTCTGATCTCTCTTGGACTTTTAGAAGTCTTCTATTACCGTTTTCCTAGTGGCTTTGGGGAGAAATCGGGGAATTTAAACAGCATTTTCTATTGGCTGGGAGGAGTGGTGGATACACCAGCAGACTCTGCTGCCATGCAATGGACTTGGACAGGCTGGAAAGCTGGGCGTAGAGGAACCTGATGAAAAGGGAGGAGTGGTGGATACACCAGCAGACTCTGCTGCCATGCAATGGACTTGGACAGGCTGGAAAGCTGGGCGTAGAGGAACCTGATGAAAATTCAACAACGGCAAGTGGAGGGTCCTGCACCTGGGGAGGAACAACCCCATGCACCAGTACAGGCTTGAGGCGGACCTGCTGGAGAACAGCTCTGTGGAGAGGAACTTGGGAGTGCTGGTGGACAACAGGTTAACCATGAGCCAGCAGTGTGCCCTGGCTGCTAAGAAGGCCAATGGTATCCTGGGGTGCATCAAGAGGAGTGTGGCCAGTAGGTCAAGGGAGGTTCTCCTCCCCCTCTACTCTGCCCTAGTGAGGCCCCATCTGCAGTACTGTGTCCAGTTCTGGGCTCCCCAGTTCAAGCAAGATGAGGAACTCTTGGACAGAGTCCAGTGGAGGACTATGAGGATGACTGGGGGACTGGAGAGCCTCTCCTGTGCGGAAAGGCTGAGAGCTGTGCTTGTTCAGCATGAAGAAGAGAAGGCTGAGAGGGGAGCTTAAGAAAGCTTAATTTATAAGGGTGGGTGTCAAGAGGATGGGGCCAGACTCTTTTCAGTGGTGCCCAGTAATGGGACAAGGGGCAACGGGCACAAACTGAAGCATAGGAACTTCCCTCTGAACATGAGGAAGAACTTTTTCCCTCTGAGGGTGACGGAGCACTGGAACAGGTTGCCCAGGGGGGTTGTGGAGTCTCCTTCTCTGGAGATATTCAAGACCTGTCTGGACAAGATCCTGTGCAGCCTGCTGTAGATGACCCTGCTTTGGCAGGGGGCTTGGACTAGATAACCCACAGAGGTCCCTTCCAACCCCCACTGTTCTGTGTATGCTGTGTATTCTGTCAATTTTATAGGACATCATATAAACTGACTTTCAGAGCAAGACCAACCATGTGATGGAGACATGTAGCAAGCTCCTAACATATAAATTTGTGTTATACTGGTAAGGACCTTAAGTAGTAAATACTCTTGGTGGATTTGAACAGCGAAGCTTAGATAAAGTCCTGTTAGATTAAAATGAACAATTATCTGTTGAGCTTTATATTACTAAATTTAGTATCAGGCACAGTCTGCTAATTCTGTTGATTATTGGTTTAAAGTAATTCTATAACAAGCTTTGCTTGAGAGTGGTACAGATGTTTGTGTGAATAAAGCTTTGAAGGTCACATAGTTGTACCTTTCAAGCTTTCAAAAATAATACTCTCCTAATTTTTCTGGAAGTTAAATCTTGAACAATTTCAAATTCCTGAATTTTTCTGGAAGTGTTTTTCTAAACCTGCAAGTTTTTTTTGTGCAATGATCAAAACACATGTTTAAAACAGTCTTATTAAGAATATTGAAACAAGTTGATAATATAAAAGGCTCTATTACTAGAAATATGTTGGAGTTTCTTTTAGGAAAAAATAGTTCCTGCAAAAGAAACACTCACTTTGGTGACAAATAGAACTGTTTAGCTATGTCTATAACTATAGTTTAATACTTGCTGATTGAATATATAAAATAAAAGTCCTAACAGAGATGATAACAGCATCTGCAGTGAGTGGTGGTTCACTTGGTTGCACCAGGGAGCTTTGAGTGGGGGGTAGTGAGCATTGCAGCTATTTTTGAACCTAGAAGTTTTGCTTTCCCTATACATAAGATTGTTTCATCACGATGGTATAAATAACGTGACCATTGTTAAAGGTCCTGCTATTATATATCAAGCGCATGGGTTTATGTTTAGGTGTCACGTTTGCATTAATATCTCTGGGAATTGCATTGTTCATAGTAGTCGTGGAGGGTGGAGGTCAGGCTGCCTGGCAGGGGCTAAGTGTTCTTCTTGGAAGAAGCTCACAAAAGAGAAGTGTCTCTCTATAAATAGGACTGATGAATGCTTCAACAAATTAATCTGTTTTCCACTCTTACATGGAAACAAACAGCTCTTAATGTACTTAGTTTCAGATTTGGTCATAGTGCCAATCAGTTGACTCTAATTAAAACTTGTGTTGGAAGTATGTCAAGAATCAGGTCTTGTAATTTGAAGAGCAATCTTGACCAAATTAATTAAACGTTGAACTTACTCGTGCATTATTACTGATTTTTACTTAGTCTTTTTACTCATGTAGCACTGTAAAAATATCGCTTTATGTAAGTTTTGTGTATCTTCTTGGATTTATAGATTCTTTTCTCGGAAAACAAGTTTGGCATACTGCCACTTTTTGTTTTTTTTAAAGCTCTGTGATCACCAGAATATTTCAATATCTTTAATCTAGTGTGTATGTGCGTGCTATACACACATATATAAGTGCATGTATTTGTACAGTCACAACTCCTAGGGCATGCTTGTCTTCTATCAGTTTGCTGAATTTGCATCTCTCTGAGCTAGAAACCCACTTCCTTTTGTTAGTGTCAGTCTTCTGCAGTAACTCTTCTATATTATGAAGCAAAGTATTTAGTGTTAACCTCCAGGCTTATAGCTAATGTGTCTCTTCCTGAGATTGTTTTTTTAAAAAGAAATTGAAAAGGTTATTGTATATGCTAACTCCACTACAGGAAACACGGTAGTAATATATTCATAACAGTCTGTTGACTGATTTCTCTTGCCAAGCTGTTGATGCTAGTATTGCCTTAGTGTGAAAGGTCAAAGGAAAAACAAAATGTTGAAAGTACTTGTTTTAAAGAGCAGCATGTATTAATTTGAGGATGTGCTACCTAAATTTATTAAAAAAGAAAAAACCCAACCTTCTATGTAAGTTATTTGATGTTTTGGCATACATTTCCAAATATAAGTTCCTTTTATGCTTCTAAATCGGTACGAAATTAATGGTAAAATTGAACGCCAAGTTCACCTAGATGTGTCACATTCTACTTGAAGAAATACTGGCAGTTTATTCAAGCAGTGAAAACTCCTTGCAGGTTCTAAACAATGGGTAATTTCTTAATGAAGTTCATAAACAGAACTAGGATATGACATCGTGCCATTTTAATGGCGATCCTGATATGAATCCCTGCAAATGAGAGGAACATCATGTAATTTCGCTGCCTTGCCCTGGTGTTTATCAAGTAGCTTCTTTCAGTGTTACAGGTCAAACTTGTGTTTCTGTATTGCTTGTTTCACAACAGAGTTCTTAAACTGGACCATGCTCTTACTCAGCTTATTAGGAGAATGAGTATAGCACTAGTTCCTTGACGCCGGGGAAGGACAGAGAGGAGATGGTAATATTTGTTCAATAAAGGTAGTTTTGCCAAGTGCTTTTGGGTTCCTTTTTGTCAAACACCTTGTCTTTTTTACTAAAGACACTAAATTTGGGCAAGAGGTTGGTTACTGTTTAATTGTTTCCTTTAAACTTTCTTGAAAAGGCCACAGAGCTGTGTATATTGGAGTTCACGTCCCATTTGGAAAGCAAGGCCGTCGACGGCACAGACATCGTGGGCACAGGCATCACAGAAGAAAAAGAGAAAAAGAAACTGACAGAGAGGATGGCCGAGAATCTCCATCATATGGTAAGAAATCTGCTGTGCGAGTTGTGTCTCTTGAAAATAAACTTGTTGTAGTTACTCTGTGCTTAAATGTTGTTTGTTTTGTGCTGGTTTTTTTTATTCTCACTCTACTTAATGTCTTTCTGTGTATAATCAGGCAACAATTTTGTGGTCACGTTTTATCTAAATCATAAGCTGTTGGACTTCATCCAGGTGTCTGCGTGAATGCTCAGCAGCCTGCACTGAATAGGTTAGACTAGAGCTTTGTAGTACTTGCCTGTAGCATAAAAATCTGTTACTTAAATTAGACATCTTTTTTCAGATTGTGTAGTCTTGTATTCTTCCTCTGTCACTGAAGACTTTTAAAAGTAGGAGTATAGCTTTGAAGCAGCATTTGCCACGGTAATTTGATCAGTGATCTATTAAAATACTTCAGCCTTCTTGCTGTCTGTTAGTAAAGGTATTGTACTGCCTCCTGAGATTTAGTTCTGGATCAGACTCCATCCCCCCGGCTTGCCCCTTATCCTCAAGAGAGAATGAATTTCTCATAACATTGTCTGAAATGATGTTATTTGGTAGTACTCTTAGCAGCTTTTCTTCAAGACCTCAAATGCACTTTTATCCCGAGACTTTAATGACTGGGAAAGATACGGTGCAATGTGTGGACACCATGCTGTTCACCATCACCTTTCTGTGACTAGGACTATGTTCTACATGGGGCCAGTTCCCTGAGACAAGGGAGTTTTCAGATAGGGAATGCTCTGACAAGTCTCCTTTTACCATTTTCCTACAGTTCTTAGTTTTACTCATCTTCAAAACCTCCTCTCCCAAATACAAATCATTATCATTCAGTCTATGTTTGTAGAGTCTTGCTGTACAGATTACAGAATCACAGAATGGTAGGGGTTGGAAGGGACCTCTGTGGGTCACCTAGTCCAACCCCCCTGCTGAAGCAGGGTCACCTACAGCAGGCTGCATAGGACCTTGTCCTGGCGGGTCTTGAATATCTCCAGAGAAGGAGACTCCACAACCTCCCTGGGCAACCTGTTCCAGTGCTCCATCACCCTCAGAGTGAAGTAGTTCTTCCTCATGTTCAGCTGGAACTTCCTGTGCCTCAGTTTGTGCCCATTGCCCCTTGTCCTGTCGCTGGGCACCACTGAGAAGAGTCTGGCCCCATTCTCTTGACACCCACCCTTCAGATATTTATAAGCATTTATAAGGTCCCGTCTCAGCCTTCTCTTCTTCAGGCTGAACAAGCCCTGCTCCCTCAGCCTCTCCTCGTAGGAGAGATGCTCCAGTTCTCTCATCATCCTTGTAGCCCTCCGCTGGACTCTCTCCAGTAGCTCTTCATCTTTCTTGAACTGGGGAGCCCAGAACTGGACACAGTACTGCAGATGGGGCCTCACTAGGGCAAAGTAGAGGGGGAGGAGAACCTCCCTGGACCTGCTGGCCACCCTCTTCTTAATGCACCCCAGGATACCATTGGCCTTCTTAGCAGCCAGGGCACGCTGCTGGCTCATGGTTAACCTGTTGTCCACCAGCACACCCAGGTCCCTCTCCACAGTGCTGCTGCTCTCCAGCAGGTCCGCCTCAAGCCTGTACTGGTGCATGGGGTTGTTCCTCCCCAGGTGCAGGACCCTCCACTTGCCGTTGTTGAAACTCATCAGGTTCCTCTGTGCCCAGCTCTCCAGCCTGAGATCTGTATATAGGTATGAAAAATATCTCTAAACCCATGTGTTTTTTTTAAGTTGTGCTCAGAGCAGTGAAGTCCACTACTTATATTTGATCAATAGAGATAGTTAAATTTTGTCACAAGTTATTACTGAGCCTGTTCCACTAGGCGTTATACTGTGAGAAGTTCAAATATTTCCTCAACATTTTAGCTGTGTAGATTCTACTTTTCTATGGTAACTTATGTTTGGTGCTCACACCATGCAATGAGAAAGTTAATATTTTTTTCCAGTCTATGTACGTAGCAACAGGCCATTGAAAAATTGGCTGCTCTAGCAATATGAGTGCCTGGGTACCCACTATGTAGAGAGAATGTAAAAAAAAAAAAGAAAAAGAAAAAGTGCCAGCTGTTTAGCATCTTGAACTATTACTAGGGCAACCAGTCTATGTCAGGCTATTTGTTTCCGTCAACATATTTTGTTTTTGTATTTTCCTCCTTTAATTAGTGTTTGTGCCATGATGGTATGATTTATTTTGTTCTCAAAGTGAAAACAAGGTTTCTAGCCCTTAGGTATATAAATTTTTATTTTTTTACCAATTTTGCTGTTGAAGTTGTTTTTTGTGTTGTTAATCTATAGAAGAGCTAAAAATACTTCATTGTGTTATATAAACATAAATTTCCAGATGCTTTGTTTTCAGAAATATTGAAAAATTTTAAAAGGTACTTTTTTTTTAGAAACGTCCGTGTTTCTTTTATTCCTTTTTTGTCTTGAAGAGGATGTTGTGTTGAATATTTCTGAGAGCAGGAGATTTAACTGTTATGTGGTGTTTCTTCCATAACAAGGATGAATTTTAACTGTTCAGTTTCTACTTTTCTTCAAGACACACCATCCCAACGCGTGCAGTTTATCTTGGGTACTGAAGATGATGATGAACACATTCCCCATGATCTCTTCACTGAAATGGATGAACTTTGCTTCAGGGACGGAGAAGAGTATGAATGGAAAGAAACAGCTAGGTATGCCAAAAGTAGGTTGTTTCAAGGCGTATCTTCTAGTGATTTTATTTCGGAGACCTGTAGCCCAGGTCTAGATCAGAATTTTTATGAACTGTAGGAGTTGACTCAATTCACGTTCAGCAAATCAAAACTTTTGTTCTTTTTGTACAACTCTGGAACAATCAGTATGGTTTCTCAAGAGACCCTCAGTTTTACTGGTGGTGTGTTGACTTTCGTAAAACTGAATGTGCCAAGCATTGTGAAAGATACAACTGTATTTAGTTATAAATACAGGTGTTCAGCCATGGAGCATGGTATTTGCAATCTCCGAAATCTCTTTGCTCTATTATTGCTGATATATTAGTGTAATTTTTTTTCACTCAACCATAAAGAAAAGTGGGTATTTACATATGTTCTTCTTAAGAGTAGTAGATTAATTTTTTGCAAATTGCGTGCATGAGCATTACAGGATGCCACGATTATTTTTGGTCGATATTGGTTAAGTTGCTTCCTTCTTCATATGCATTGTAATAAATTCTTCTGCAGTCAGTACTTCTAATTACCTTATTGCATGCTAGCTTTTGCAGAAGTTCAATTTATGTAATGCTTGTGAGTCAGAATCAAGATCAATTTATAGTTACACACATTACTATTACCTAGCTCTTAAATGTCTGACTTGGCTCCCTAGGAGACTTGAACATGGTATATGGTGTGTTTCAGACAACTTTCTAATCCGAAAGTACTGGTGAAACAGAGATGTGTAAATCAAGTAACAAGGCAGAATCCCACATTGTTCACAAGAACTCGTGAACAGACAGGTATTGTTCAAACCAAAAGAAATGAAATGGGTGAAAACTAAAACAGTTGAGTGTGATTACAAGTCCTGATAAAAAATGTTGTTCTTGTCAGTCAGCTGAGTTGTCTGAGGAAATGAAAGCCAGTATGAGCTCATGGGATTTCCTGTTCTGTGTCATACAGAAGCCACAGGGAAGAATGAGGTCGCTTCACAAATTGTGTGTATTCCAGGGGAAACAGATGTGTATGTGTATGCATTTCAGGTGGCTGAAATTTGAAGAGGATGTTGAAGATGGTGGTGATCGATGGAGCAAGCCTTATGTAGCAACTCTGTCTCTGCACAGTCTCTTTGAGCTGCGAAGCTGTATTCTTAATGGGACGGTCATGTTGGACATGAGAGCAAACACACTTGACGAGATAGCAGGTTGCAGCAAAACTTTTTTTTAAATATTCCTAAATTTTAATCTATAACGAGATGTTTTTGATGATGTCTTTTTATGTTCTTGAAAATGCTTTATTGAAGAAACAGGTAGATGCATGCCTACTGCATTTTTCTTCGTCTGGTTGTAAAGAGCTGATCCTACAAACTTCACTTAAAGGAGCTGCACTGGATGAGTAGGACCTCCTTTGTTACATATTTTAGGATGAGGCCCAGAATTTGCCTTTATGTTCTAATCCCTGAATGTGTTGTTTGTCTTTATTTCTACAGATGAAATGTAAATAACAGCCAGAACATTTTAGGACTTATATGTGCACTTTAGTACCATAATTATTAATCATAACTTGGCTGATGTTAAATTGATGCCATTAGTGCAATTGATTCTTGAACGTCTGGTATTTTTGTCACCTTTAGAAGAGGTGAGCAGAAATAAATTTTGTACGTGTTGTTTGACCTAGTGTATTGAGTGTCCTCACTAATCACGTGGTCATTCTGGATACTATAAAATCAACTTGGAAGACTTTTTCATGTATATATATATCTATATATATATCTCTCTCTATATATATATCTATATATATATACACACACACACACACACACACACATACGCACGCACCTGCTTAGTCTGAATGCCTTTGAACTAGTTTTACATAATTTTCTTGGTATCTCTTGCTACAGGTACCACACAGTGGAGTGCCTTCTCAGGAATCATGCTAGGCTTAGGGCTGACCAACATACATGGGAAAGACAATGTGTTTTGGCATTAGAAACCTTGGCAATGCTTGAAATGTTTTCTTGTTTTGTTTTGAAATCTTCAAAATTCACTCAGGAAATTGATATTCCTTCATATTTGCCTGACTTACTGAGCAAGTGTGTTCAATACATGGTTTGTAAAAGTAATGTTTTGGTTTATAATTGATTTTTAATAATTTAATTTAGCAATAATCTTAGTACATAAGAAAAATAGTTATTGCTTAATTCTGCGTAAACAGCACTCTTTTAATAGCAGGTATTTTAGTTGGGACTAGGATGTTGTAAGAGATTGCATTAATCTGTTTCATGTTAATTTTAGTGCCGTTACAAAGCAGGCAGGATAACAATCCTTGGCATACGAATGTGTTGTCTGGTTTCTGTGAGCCAGGAATACCTAGTAGGTATTCTTGGTTCTCACTCAAAACAGGAGGGAGAAGGTGGCAGGTTTCCTTCTGAGAAGCTGTAACAAAAGGCTGTGTGTTGCCAGGAATCCCAGGAGGAAGCTGCACTGTACTGACAGACTTTGCTGCGTATAATTTTGTTCGTAAGATATTCTGAGCCATAACCTTTTTCATTGTGAGAAGTTCTGTGTAACTGCAGTTTCCCGATACAGTTAGGTTCTTGAGATATCACGACTGGCAAAATACATTTTAAAAGTTGGCACATTTGTTCTTGTTGATTTGTGCAGGTTTATTTTTTTAAGTTAATTACGGGGGGGGAAAAAAAAAGGCAGCTAAGAAATTGTAGCAGATATTTCATGCAGGCTTTCTTTCCTGGTGTGAGCATATGATAAGATGCCCTTTCGGAGGCTGATGTCGTTTGATAGGTGATTAGTTAGTTTTAGATGATGTAACTAACTTCTCGTTTTCCACTTCCCCTGCAAAAGCATGTGAATCGCGTGAAGTTTGATAGAGAGCCTCAGGAACTTAGGGTGTCTGAAGGTGACAGAGGAGTTAGGGAATTAGTCTCATTCTATAATAACTTTCGCTTTTATATAGTTGTACACTTTCGAAATGGGGAACACCAGGCTGAGATTGTCTGAAGTCTGTTCTCCATTGTGTTTTCTGGCTTTGTGTGTTCACTTCTAGTGGAGGGTTGCTGAATACATAAGTGCTTTTATTTTGAAAGGGAGTCACTGTTGAATGTTGGAGTAAATGACAATGAATTATAAAATCCGAAGTAATTTATTTCTTAAAATGATGCTACTAATAAACACTGTCTTTTAGATCCGCATGCTGTGCTTTACTTATTCTCACATTTGCTTGTTCAGTGACATCTCTGAAAATTTCCGGTGGATTCTTGAAGATGACTTTGCTAAAGAAAAGACTTCTCGTTTTTTAAATAGATTAAGCTTTTTTTTTATTATTTGGTGCAACTACAGTGCTTGAGTGTGGTGAAGGAGAGATTTGATAGCTATATACGTAATTTGCTTTGTTGTTGTTGTTACTATGTAGATATGGTTTTGGACAACATGATTGCCTCTGGCCAGCTGGATGAATCCATAAGAGAGAACGTGAGAGAGGCTCTTCTGAAAAGGCACCATCATCAGAATGAGAAAAAATTCAGCAATCGGATTCCCCTGGTTCGATCCTTTGCAGATATAGGCAAGAAACATTCTGACCCTCACTTGCTTGAAAGAAATGGTGAGATAAGTTGTAGCATCCAGTTTGTTCTATCCTGTTAAATAATGTTCTCGCTGGGAGATGAAGGAAAATTCAGCTGATAATAGCAGATAAGTGTTTCCTTCTTGATAAGCAAAGAAGTAATGATAACAGTGTGTGCTGTGTGTAGCTGTGGATGATGGTTCTGTATATTTTTGAATTTACTCAAACTGTCTACTCCTGCCTGTATACACAGCATGCATTGTTGTTTTGAAGTATAGACATAGACCTACATTTGTCCTAATGTTTTTTGGGATATGCTTGAATAAAATGTGTAATGTTTGCAGGATTTCAGCATTGTGGCGTAGCTTTGTATGTTTGTCAGATGGATCCTACTTGCTTTTTCAGTCTTTATACTAGAGATGTACTTAGTGGTCATGTCACGAGTTCAGTGATGCTGACAATTATTAAGTTGTAATCCACTTGTTATGAGTAGAAAAAGTTCAATATGCTAATAGTGAAGAAATTACTTTTAGCTGGGACACAGTTTATTTTTACCGTGTTTTGTAGAGAAGGATCTAACGGGAGAAAAAAAAAAAACCAAACCCATGAAAGATATTTGCAATGATTTATAGGCTGCACTACATCTTTTATTGAACCAATTCCTGAAAATATGCTGGAATATCAATACGTTTACTCTAGACATCCAGTTCCAACGTCCAAATAGCGATATATACTGCAGAACAGCATACTTTCATTCTTGTGTTTCTTATGGCCTCTGTTCTGTCTCTGTTCTTTGTTTTCTTTTGCCTTGCATTAACTAAGACACATAATTTCAACTGAAATTTTTTAGTCTAGTGAAAACTTAGTACTGATTTCACAAATCACTCCTAGAAGTGAAGTTTCTTTCCTGTCTTGCAGGATGCCTCATTGCTTGGAACATGTCCACTTATTTAAGTGCTTGTTGGGAGCTGTCAGTTCGATACATACTTGGAGTACACTCCAGCAAATATCTGAGCTTGCTTATGCTTCTTGTTAGCTAGTGAATATGTGATATATGCTGAAATATTTCCCTGATAGTTTCAGATTTTTTTTCTGGGATGAAAATACAACTAATTTATATAAGAGCATAATTTCTTCTATAACTTCTGACTTTTCCTGTTTTATTTAGCAAATGTGAAAATTTGATGTGTAAACTTAGTTTTACCCATCCTTGAACACCTGTATCCCCAGATGTAGTTCTGAGAATTTTGTATTTGAGGAATCCTGCTTGTCAGTAACTCTTCATGTATCACTTCCACTTTGCAGTGCAATTTATTCTAGATACTATTCATACAACAGAATATGGGATGTGTGCTGAAGTAGGAAACCAATATAACATGATGAACTCTTTGCCAGCTTACACTGATTTACTTTATAATCCTATGGTTACCCACTAATAAACCAGTAAACCAAACATGCAGATGTGCATAGTAATTTTTAGGCTCGTTTTTACACCTGTGTGTGTTAGGACATCTCATGTTCGTGGTTCATCACAGACATACTGACAGAAGTCTAGTTGTTACTGTAGTGATTAATATAGACAAAATGAACCAGTTTGTTTTATTGGTCCTCTTGTCTTTACTGCACTGCAGTTTTAATAGCTGATCTCTGAGGCTTTTGTTCTTCATTTAAATCAAATTTCTATCTGTAGGATTCACTCTTTCATTTTTAGAGGAGGAAAAAAAAATGTATGTGACCTTTACCTAGGCATACTTTCTGTGCTTCTTTCTTGTAAATTATTACAGGGTTGTTCAACGTATGGGTCTCTAGTGCCTAGTGTGAATGTGAGACTAAATGTGTCTAGTTTGCTGTTTCCTTGCTTGATGGCATGGTATGTGAAAATAGCACGTTTTTGATTTCGGGGATTGTAGGAGAAGTAATCAGTACTCTTCACAAGGAGACTGCCATCTCAGGAAAAGTGTTTGTGGTAAACAGGAGGAATGGTATCACTGCACCTTCTAATGGAAGTACTGATACAAGGATAGACAGTTTGTCTTTCTGCTTAAGGAAGAACTGAAATCCATTACAAACCGAAATCTGGGGGAACCATGACAAGACTATGTTCTCTTTATGTGAAATTAGTGGGGCATCGAAACCGGGTAGGGCAAGAAAAGTAACAATGGATTTTGGAGATGTGTGTTTGGTTTTAGGCAAATGGGGATACTTGTTAAGTCACAGCAAGAAGAAATGGAGGAGGGACTGTGTATCTCATCCTTGTGCCCTCTTCTAAAATGTGTATTGAGACTACAGCTAGCTACGAAACTTCTTATTAAAACAAGACTTATTGGAAGATGGTCGCGTTTAACATGATTAGATATGTTTAATCATGTTCATTGCAAAAGATTTTAATTTAAAAATGAGCAGTTCTTTGTTGGATGCAGTTAACTGAAGTCTTGCAATGTTTTTTGCTGCTAATGGTTTTTTTAGTGTATTTTTTGATGGCACTAAAGGTAGCAGCTGTGCAATTTGGAATAAGAAATTCTAGGAAAATTTAAGAGTCAGTTTCAAGAGATACAATTCCTTTTTTTTTTTTTTTTTTATATATTATATATTAACAGGTCTTACTGACTTTAAGGTAATATCTTCTCCCACATACCTTTGGCATTCTAATTAGTACTCATCAGTAATTTCTGACTTTTCTAATGTCTGAAATCAGATTTGCTCTTATCTCTTGTCTTACTTGCATGAGTGTGACACTTTTGGCCTGTAAAGCTTGCAATTTACCATGTAAATTGTTAATGCATATTTGAGTCTGTGGTTTTTTTGTATATCCCTGTTGTAAGCCTCATGGTGTTTCATTTGTTTTATCTCAGGGGAAGCCCTTCCCCCCCCCCGCCACTCTTTGCGAACAGGTCTCTCTGCCTCAAATATATCCTTGAGAGGAGAAAACCGTTTGTCAGTTCTTCTCAATTACCTTCTTCCTTCTTCAAGAGCTGGAACCCCGGCAGCCTCAAGGTGTACAACCCCCGTAACTACCCCTCAAAACACACCACCCTCCAGCCCTACCTGCAGCCACCCGCCAACCACAAGTGCCCAGCCAAATCCACTTCAGGGCAAGGAATTGCTGGTGTCACCTGCCAGCGATGATATTCCTTCAGTAATAATCCACCCACCTGAGGAGGACTTAGAAGTGCAGGAAAGCCAGGCAAAGAAGACAGAGGAAAATACTGACAAAGCACCAGGCAACTATCGAAATTTAAGCTGTCCATGTGTGATGCTCTCTGCATCTGGATCACTTGCATTGCAATGTTTTTGGCACACAACTTGGGCACAAGGGACTATGATAACTGTTGCCTCTACCTGCATGTTTTATTTCTTCTCAGTTTTGACTGTGTTCTTGTTTGGCATTTTTAACTTTTTAGCTTTTCACTAAAGCCAGCAGAAAAACCGTTTTAATTAACCTCCATTTGTGTAATTAAAAAGGAATATGGTTTCAAAATATAATATAAAGCAAAATGTCAAAAATGGTGGCCTTTTCCTTTCACTCACCTACAGTCCATGTCAGGTTTTGCTTTGTTGTTTTTGTCAGTGGTTGAGTTAATATTTTTAAACCATTGTTTGATATCCTGAGATAGCTACAGCCGAAGATGTGGTGAACTATTAGAGATGAATATGAAAAGAATTAGGAAGGATGCAATTATCAGTGGTGTTCGTAGTTTAGTTGTATCATGAAGTCTTTAAGCAGTTTTATTTTCGCTTTTGTGCTTTTAAAAACCAAGGTCGTTAAAACCAGTAGTAGTTTATGATGGGACTGGGAGGTTCAGTTCACCTACAGCTCTTTCCAGATAGCTATCGGTTAGTGCACTGCTTTAGCATCAGACACTTGGTTTCTGTTTCATCGTGTTTGATAGACACAATAGGATAAGGTAGTTAAGAGTTTAGAACAGTAGGTCAGAGCTCAGCAATTTATTAATTTGTTGTCTTACAAAGCTATTGTTCTTTACATGTAGAAAGGTATGTAGATGTATAGATAAGCTGAAAGACAGGATGGAAAGTTCTGATGATTAATTGTTTTTAGTAAATGTTTCATACCTTGTGCATTCTGCATACATACTGTTACACTTGATTGACTTTTGCAAAATTATCACCTATTTAGAGACTTCAGGATTCTTCTAGATAGATCATGTTTTTAAGGGGATCACCTTTTTTTTTTTTTTTGCCTTCAGACTCCTCCTTCTTTTTATTTATTTGTGTGT